CGCCAGGGCCAGACGCCGCTAGTGCAGCCAAGTAATCCGCCGAAAAGTTTGATTCCCGGTAAACATGTCGAACTTCCACGAGCCATTCCCGACTCCGCAATTCTTTAATGGCCCGAATAAGGCTGCTGTGGATACCTTCCACTTCCGCCAATCCATTTACCACGTCAACTACTGCCTTGCTGTCGACATCGGCTACGACCCGTCGATGCCCTAGCTCCCAAGCAAGAAGAAGGCCTTGAAGTAATCCCCAAATCTCAGCTCCCATAATGGTGCTATACCCAATATTCATGATGAAACCCCCAACAAAACAGCCAGTGTGATCACGAAGGAGTCCTCCGGCACTCGCCATACCCGTGGTCGTATTAAAGGCGCCATCAGAGTTGCATTTAATCCATTCCTCTGGCGGAGGTTCCCAAGAAACCATGAGATCACGCCTATGGCATCCCCGAAGCCCGAGGCGAAGAAGACTCGAGCTCGCTTGCTGGATAATCTCAGCGTGATTCCGAACTTCCATGACTTTGCCATCAGCCGAAGATGTGGTATTATTAAAAACGAAATTATTCCGGCCATGCCAAAGACGCCACAAGCTAACTCCAAACACACAATCCCAGTTGTCATCCGCAATATTCAGCCGGGGCGATAGGTTCAGTTCCAGCCAATTGGCCAAAGTCAGATCGAAGAACTCAGGCCATTTCGAGCGCGGCACCAGCTTTTTCCAGAAGAGACGAGAAACCTCACAATCACGAAGAACGTGGAGGATTGATTCCGTTTGGGCTTGACAGATCTCGCATAGCGGAATATCCACTAGGTGCCGTCGGTGTCTTTCTTCGTTCGTCAGAAGCTTTTCCATAGCAACGAGCCATAAAAACTGTCGGATTCTTTGAGGTCCGACCCACTTCCAAATCAGCGACCACAGCCGGCGCTTCTCATCACGGTTCGCCGGAATCAAAGACTTATAGGCTGATTTGGTCGTGAACTGCCCGTTCGAGGACAAACCCCAGAAAATTTTATCTTGACCAGCCCCGGCCTGAGGAGGGAGGGTCGCGGATATCCGGAGAAGATCCGAAGGCTGCAGCCAGGACGAAAAGCTTGGCCAATTCCATTGCCCATGCTCGTTGACACACTTCGAAACAGACCAAGAAAGTTGGTCCTCGGGAATTACCCCATGCACTCGGTTAATTAGAGGTGATGGGCTGTTCGACCAGTTGTCCCACCAGAAAAGCGCCCTAGTACCTGACCCTAGCGACCATCTGACACCCTTCGTAACGTGCGACCAAACCCGAGCCAGACCGCGAATTACTACAGATCCCGTTGGGAAGAGGAAGTTCGACGTCATGGAAGTGGGCTGAAGCTTATACTTTGCACGTAGGACCTGGACCCAAAGAGCATCCCGGTTACTGAGAAGACCCCACGCAAGTTTCATAAGAAGTGCCATATTCATCGTTCGTTGATTTTTCAGACCTAAACCCCCCTCGTCTTTAGGCTTGCACACGGACTTCCAATTGACCAGATGAACCTTGTTCGCGGTGTCCGAATATCCCCATAAAAATCGTCGACATCTCTTCTCTAGGCCTTCGCAAATAGACGATGGAATCCAGGCAGTTTGCATGGAATAATAGGGGAGACAACTCACCACTGATTGGGTAAGAGTGACCCTACCGGCCATCGAGAGGGACGAAGATATCCACCCAGCTAGACGGTTTTCGGCTTTATCCAAAATGCCCTCATAGGTATGTTTACTGACCCGGCCATGGATAAGCGGCATGCCAAGATACTTTCCCAAGTTCTCCACCCTACTGAACCCCGTAAGCTCTGCCAGGTGGACTTTGGTCCGTTCGTCAACATTTGGCGAGAAAAAGATGCTCGTCTTGGGGGCACTCACTTTCAGTCCCGAGGCGTTGGAAAAGATGGAGAGCACCTCATTGAGCACATCTACTTAATCTTCGGTAGCTTCCATGCAAAGTAAGAGATCATCAGCAAACATAAGGTAGGGGATAGCTACCTCGCCTCGGCCAAAGGAGAAAGGACGCCACTGGCCTTGAACGACTCTCTGTTGGATTAGGTGTGCTAGACGTTCCATAGCCAGGACGAAAAGGTAAGGTGAAATAGGATCTCCTTGCCTTACGCCACGAGTGGGGGTAAATTCTTCAGAGATAGACCCATTGAATTGAAGCTGCATAGTAGCAGATGAGATACAAGTCATTACCCCTCGCACTAACACCTCCGGGAACCCGGCTAGGAGAAGAGTTTCCTCCACAAAGTCCCACCTGAGGAAATCATAGGCTTTTTCTAAATCCACTTTCACCACAAAATAACCCTTCCTTCCAGTTTTGGTCCGCATGGAATGGATAAGCTCCTGGGCAATAACAATATTGTCTGTGATTTGGCGCCCCGCAACAAAGCTCACCTGAGCAGGACCCACTAGCCGAGGCAACACCATCTTCATGCGGTTGGCAAGAATCTTGGTCGAGAGTTTATACACCACGTTCAAGAGACTAATGGGTCGAAATTGCTTAATCGTTTGAGGGCCGTCGACCTTGGGGATCAAGACAAGTAGAGTTTTATTCACCTCCGGTGGCATAACCCCATCTGTTAGGATCCTGCGGATCAAGCGGCTCACTGATGCACCTACTTTATCCCATTGCTGTTGAAAAAAGATCGCGTGGAGCCCATCAGGTCCAGGAGACTTTAGAGGGTGCATAGAACGGAGGGCATAGGAGATCTCGTGATCCGTTATGTCTGCCTTCAAGGAGGCGAGCTGTCCCGGTGTGATGGCAGGGAAGTCATTCCGGATGTGGGTCCGGGGAAGGGGTCTATGAACCGCCGAGTATATACCCTTGAAATAATCAACCGCCAGTCTCCTCAAAGTGTCTTGATCCTGGCACCACGCCCCAGCATCATCCAACAGGCCCACGATTTTATTCCTCCGGCGTTGGGCTTTAACCTTCTTGTGGTAGAAGCTCGTGTTCCTATCGCCAAAGAGTGACCAGTCACGTTGAGCCTTTTGGATCATGAGTATCTCTTCTTGCAGAGAGATGGCTTCAATGTCAGAAGTTAGCGTCCGTTCGAGGGCCATTAAACGGTTAGAGGTACGGCTTTGAAGGCCCGCTGCACTCCTGAAATTCGGGCCAGAAGACGCTTTTTATTTTTAAAGATATTACCGAAAGTATGGAAATTCCATTCTCTTGCCTCACGGGAAAACCGGGAAGCTGCATCCACATAGTTGTGTGATCCCAGCCATATCTCCCCTACTAGTCTGTCAAAGTCCTCATGCATTAACCATGATGCAACGAAACGGAATTGCTTCGTGTGAGTAGGTTGGGGAGAGTCCATATCACACTTGACCATAATCGGCGTGTGGTCTGATTTTAGCCGAGGGAGATGGGATACCACACTACTACTAAAGGTATCTAACCAGGCTTCATTAGCAATGGCACGGTCTAGTTTCTCGGCTAGTGCTCCCCGGAACCAAGTGTAGTTGTAGCCGTCCGTACGAACTTCGTCTAGGTTATGATCGAAAAGAAAGTTACCGAAGTCCTCACTAATATTGTAGAACTGTGTGGAACCACCTCGTTTCTCAGTGTGTCGTAGCAGACAGTTCCAGTCACCACTCAGGAGCCAAGGGCCCGAAATCGACGACGCTAGCTGATGAAGTTCCCCCCAAAGGCAACGCCTCATTATAGAGTTCGGGCTCGCGTACACGAATGTTGTCAAAAAGCAAGAATCCTCCGCCTGTATCAAAGCGTGGACGAATTGATGATGGCATCGGATTATTGTAACCTGCACTCTCTCTCGCCATAATAGCCAGATCCCTCCGGAAAAACCACTGGCCTCAAGTCGAAACGACCGATCAAACCCACTCTGTCGTATGAAAAAATCGGCCTCGGCACCACTGATCCGAGGTTCAAAAATTGCGACCAATTCCGGCTTGTATTCGTGGATGAGATTAGAGAAAGCTAGGCGAAAAGCAGCCGAGCCCGCTCCTTGTACGTTCCAAGTGATGAGCTTCATTAGGAAAACTTTAAGTGGGAGAGAGAGTGCAAGCCGTCAGGAGCTGCTTGGGCCACTCAGGTCCCGAGTGTCATCCTCAACCATAATTGAATCCAATGTAGTATCATGGCTAGGGCCCGCCCCATCATCAAACCCGTCTGCAAGTGTCGGAGTTGAAGAGAGTGCAGGATCCGGGTCCACTACCATAGCCGAGTTATGTGGCAGATCGATCCCAACTGGGCCAGATGAGTTTTTGTCGTTTTTCAGGCGTGGGCTGCCAGTAAGGTGGGCAACCTGGTGTTTAGTAGGGTCCAGGCCGCATCCCACCGAGGTAAAGAGCAGCTGGGGTGAGGTAGCAACCTTCTTGTTAGTGGACATCAATTCAGTCGTCTCCTTGGTAGACTCAGTAGTGTTCGAACCGCGGCCTTTTAGTGGAGCTGTCACCACTGGTTGGGTGTCCCGGGTATTCATGTTCATTTGCGGCGCCGAAGAAGTGGAAGCCTTGGCTGGTGCTGAAACATTGGTCGCCTTACCTTTGCCTTTCTTCCTCCGCTCTACAACATGCCATGTAGTAGAGTCTAAGCGATTATTAGCAGCCGCATCCATGGGTGCTTTACCCCGGCTCTCTTTGCCCGTGGTAAAAGACATTAGGTTACTTGAGAAAGGCGTGTCCTGTGGATTAGACGAGTCCCCAAGGTCCTCTGATAACGGATTGAAGCGTGACCCACCATGTGAAGCGCCCTTTGATTTATGGGGGTTCCCCTGATTGCCCCAGGTTCGTGGTTTGCCGGTATTTTTAGCCAAAAGCCAAGGACCCTAGATCTTGTCACCCAGGTTAAGTGGTGTCGTCTCGCCTTTGTCCACAGCGCCGTCCGGTTGAGAGGCAGGGTTCGCGTTGCCAGTCGCTTGAGCATCTGTAGTTCCAGCGCCCTTGTCTGGGGGCCGCTCTGGACAAGCCGACGACCCGTGTCCATACGTACCGCACTCAAAGCATATATCCGGGAGATTTTCATATTCCACCCGCTGCATTTTCCCCCGAATAGTGAATCGGGCACACACCGGTTTTGTCAGATCAAGGACCACTGCTAGCCTAGCAAATTTCCCCCTTGATTGAGATGCTGTTTGATGGTCGATCTTGATCACTTTCCCTACTACGTTCCCAATGACGCAAAACACTTTGCGGTGATAAAGATGAACAGGCATGCCCGGTAAACGTATCCAGGTGACCAAAGAGCGTATTTGGTTATTGGATTCGTCAAAGTTGTCACTCCAGGGTTGAGCATGGACATAGAACTTCTTGTATTGTTTGGAGATGATCCACGGGCCGCCCACCAATACTTTCACGGCCTCCTCGTGTGAGTTGAAACGAATTTGAAAGTATCCATTTTCCAGGTCGATCATGTTACAACCCGACATGAAGGGCCATAATCCAACTAGTTTGGTATAGAGGAGGTGAGGGCTAAGAGTTGTGCCCATGACCTTGACAATAACGACGTTCTTCCAAGATCGAATTAGGGAATCATAAAACTCGTTCGTCAACTTGATGTCCGGGACCCCCGGCTTGAAGTCGGCAACTACATCATCCTCCAAGCCTTCGTCATCCTCTCCTTCTGACAGCAGATCGACGTGGTCCCGGTTCCCGATAACTGTATCACGAAAACTCAGGCGAGTTGGGGGGTTTCAGGGAGAAGGGGCCGCATAAAACCCTCCAACTGGGGGTTCGTTTGACAGTCCGCTAGTGCGAGTGCGTTTGAGGGATCTGAAGTTTCTGTCCGTGGGTTGCGAAGCAGATTGCAGAGGCGGAAAGTCAGGGTTAGAGCGGTCCGGCGGGTCTAATTTTGGGTCCGGCGGGGGGGAATCGGCGATTAGGCAACATTTGGTAGGTCAGTTGATAATCACATTTGAATGCTATATGGTCTTTATTGTTATAAGACTATCTCTATTCGTGCCTTGTGTTAGGTCAAGGGACAAAGACCAAAAAAATATAAAAAATACAATAAAAAATTA